ACCAACGCGGCGGCGGTGGGGTGGGGAGCAAATGAAGACACACGCACACGCACACACACACACACACACGCACACATAGCCGAACTGTAGGCGCAGCCAATAAAACGCCACTCAAACAAACATGCGAAACACATTAAAGGCAATAAACAAATCAAGCAGGAAACACAAGCACAAAAAGAAACCAAAAACAGAATGAGACGCAGCCTCGTAAAATGTTAAATTGAAATCAAGCAAAGTAAAGTTGCAATTAGGCAGTGCTCAAGTACTCGGCACACACACACACACACGCACACACACACAAATCATTTACTTTTTTATGTGCTGTCGGGAAACAAAGCCAAAAAAATAAGCGAGAGAGACAGAGAGAGAGAGAGTAAAAAGAACAGCTAAATGACACTAAAAACTGCTAAACAAAGCGCACAGCTAAAAACTAATTATTACGCAAATTATTTATTTGTTGTAGACAAGATTTAAAAACATTAACAAAGTGTCATTGACACATGAGCATAAAACACATCGAGTCCAACACACAACACCACAGCGAGAACGAGAAAGAGAGAGAGAGAGAGAGAGAGCGAGAGATGGGAGAGCACGCAAGCAAGATAAGAAGAGCTCAGTCGACGGCGACGCTTTAGTTGTAGTTGTCGTTGCGCCCCGCGTTCCTTTCTCTTTCACACATGGCAAATATTTACCGCAACTTTGACGCCTCACCGGCGCCGCTCTCATCGCTCGCACTCACCCCATTGGGCGTTTGCCGCTCTCCCACTTCGAGACCGTGCTCATTTCGCATTGTATTTTTAGAGGTTCACTAACTTTAGTGTTGTTAAACACAAAAATGCGCTGCCTTTTTTGTTTTTTTCTGCACTTGCATTGTGCGTGTGTGTCTGTGTGTGCGTTAAGTTTGTTATGTTGCTGTACGCTTAATTAAATCTCTAGCCCTGACACTTTTTTCATTGACAAGGCAACCTGCGCCCGAAACTCCGACCACAGCCGAAAATAGCAAAAGCCACAGCAATAAATGCGATTTAGGTTTGCGAGTGTGTGTGTGTGTGTATTTACGCTTTCGCAAAAAGTCAAAAACAATAAAAACAAAAACGAAACAGCTAAATTTTTGCTAGCGCAAGCAAAAGCGACGCTACGTTGGGAAAGTCAATGCGCCGCGTTAAGCGTAAAGCCGGGGTAAGGGGGTGGATGGGGGCGGCAGTTGGGAAGGCGACACAACGACCTTGAGAAACGGCGCGTTGATTTTTTTTTATTTCGCTTTTACAATGTTATTGTTGAAATTCGCCAAGTTATGCAGTTTTGTTATTGTTATTGTTGTTGGTCGTGTGGGCTGCCTATTTAAGTCGACTTTTTTCTTTGGCATAAATTAAGCAGCAAATTTATTACTTTCAAACGGGTCGTGTGAAATTTTAGCGGGCATGCCAAGCAAATCGAAAGCTCAGCTGCCCGAAATTGTAAATTTCACAATTAGAGAGTTTTTTTGCATTTTGCGTAACAAACCAAAAATTTGTAAAAAAAAAAAAATATAATCTTTGGCTTATCTCCTTTTCCCAATATTCAATCACATTCTTTACCTACTGCATTCGCATATGCAGCCATACACACACTCACACACACACACACCTACACACACATGCATGCACGTAATTCTGTTTTCAATTCCATCAAAGAAAATAATAAAACTAATTTGTGACTCACGCGACGCTCTTTGATAAAAAAAACCATTAAAAAGCGCAGTAGAAATGAAATAAAAAAAAACAAAACCGAGAAGTTATCAAAAAGCCGGAAGTGCAAAGCACAGAACATACGAGAAATTAGCTGATATTGCTAATAAAGAGAGACATCACTGTAAAGAGAATGGGTGTGAGAGGTGGGCGGGGCGGGGGGGAGTACAACTGGCCGCATGCATAAATCAAAGTCGCATTAAGCGAAGCGAAACACGAATGAATTCGTAGAAATGTCAACAGTGACGTCACAATTTCAGAAGAAACACACACCAAAATGAATTCAATTAAAAGCTGTTTTAAGACCGAAATTCCCCACGCTCCGCCAGCGTTTAAGCAAGTTATGAATAAGCGTCAAAATGACGCGACTAATTTCTGATAAGCTACGACTAAAATGCGAATGCGTTTGCAGCAGAGCGAGACAGAGACAGAGAGAGAGAGAGAGAGAGAACATTGAAAACCGGTTAACTGTCTGTCAATAAAACCAAAAATCCAGTAAATGCCTAAGAAATGACACACAAGCACACACACACACACACACATACATGACACAGCGCAAAATGAACGAACCGTAACCAACAAGTGGACAGGCGAGAAAGAGACAGCAACACTTTGCCCGTTAATCTCATAGTGCGTTCTACCGCTGGCGACATGCACGAAAGGAGGAATGGGAAAAAAGCATCTACGCGTATTACTCATGCTAATTTTACACACACACACACACACACACGCGCACACACACACACATGCTCGGCTGGAGTCAGTGTTGGACAGTATAATGAACTACTTAATGCCGCACAGCACAGTAGTGGCAGCACGGAAACAAGTTGTCGCACAGTGGGCAAAGTGTGTCTTATACTGTGCACTTACATATATTGTAATCGCATTGTTACCACGTGCCACTTGCAGCTTTGCGTGGTAACACCACAAATGAGGTCGTCGGCGTTATGAAGCAGGAGGCGTGTAGACGTGGGCTGACTTTTTGCGTATTGGCCGCATTTCTAAGCCGTTAAAAAGCGGCAAAGTGAGCTGAGAATGACGCATGGAAATTTAGACATTTTATTGACACTTTATTGTAGATTGTGAAATAAGCAATCGCAAAGATTAGCTGCGAGTACATTAATTCGTAAGTGAAATATGTGAGTAAATGGAGCGGGCAATAGACAGAGATAGCAATACATATGTGTATATGTGTATATGCTAGAGTGAATCAGCATCAGAAGAATTAAAATTAAGGTAGCAGGTCAGCGAACTTCAGCATACACATGAACATATAGAAAAAGATATATGTACATATACATATACATAATTATATACATATACATATATATGGCTTGCAGATTTACAATTTAGCTGTTATATAATCCTAGTTGTTTTTTTTGTTGCTTTGCAACACTGTACGCAAACAATTTCGATAAAGTTATCGCAACTATCAAATAGTTTCAGTTTTAAAGCTGTCATAGCCCCCCACCGCTCCCCCTCTCCCTACAGCCCATCAAGGTGCATTGGGGAACTGGAGAGGAGGCGTGAAGTAAAGCAAGAGAAGTGAAGAGAAAGAACTTGCCGTTGGCCTCACAAGCGCAGCGCATGCCACAACACACACACAACACACACACACACACACACAGAGTGGAGCATAAGAAATGCTAACGGTAATCCCCAGAGTATCTATTTTTGTAGCTGCCGCGCTGCATTGTGTTGTATCTTGCAGATACAATTTTGAAAACTTGTAATTTAAATACAAAGTCGTGGCATTGTTTATCTCTTCTTTTTTTTTGTTGTTCTTAAGGCAAGCATTTGGTTTAAATCTTTGATGTGATTATTATTATGTTGATGGTTGTTATTCTTCTTCTTGTTGTTGTTGTTGTTTGCTCTGCGGCAAAAATTCTAAGAGGAGGCGAGAGCAAGATGTGTTAATGTGTGAGAAGAGTTGAAGTTTTGGTTTTGGCCCAGCGTCTAGCGGTTCGCAACTAATTAAGGCACAGCAGAGCGCAAATGACGCAGCTTGTTTTGGTGCAGATACAGATACAATGGCAGAGATACAGATACACAGACACCTCTCTGTATATATGCAACCTCATCTTAGCAGCCGCAACTGCGACGCATTCAAGCATAAAGTCTAATGATTGCTAATTACAAGACAACAACATGAAACAGTCGCCACAACTGAAAGATATATCTATATATCTATATATATATATATATATATAAACTGAAGTAAGCTAAACGCGATTTGTAAATTGTGAGCTCATTGCGCCGTAACCAAATTGCTCTTCAATAGAAAGCTGCAACATTTTGACCACAAAACAAAAAATGTAAACTCAACATTCAAATGGCCAGACAAATTGTTTTCAATATCTCAGATCTTGCGAGCAGCTCAGCGAGACAAAAAAAAAAACGAAAAACTAACCACAAAGGCAACAAATATCTTTTATAGCTCGCAAATGCTGCAAGTAATGAAAAATAAGATCTGTTGCCTTTGTTTGTTTAGTGTATGGCAAAGTGCTAAAACCTGATCGTGTTGTGTTCATTATTTCACGCCCATCAACATATTGTTTGTAAGTTATTTTAATTGATTTGTAACTTGAATTCCACGCGCAAGCGTGGAAAATGGGCGAAATACAGTGAATTTCTTATTTCGCTCCTTGTCTAATGCATAGAAGGAGATACAATTCAGCCCAAAAGGAAGATATATATATATATCTTTCTGAGCCTGGTTTTGATCTGCCGGATCAGAGCACTATCCTATATAGTTCTCATAGAGCGAAACGAGAGAAACAGCTCGCAAAGACACAACTGAGCTCTAGTTTTGTAATATACTTTGATTCTTCGAGAAATCTTAAACAAATTTGCCATTTGCAAGCTTTACTGTACTTCCATTATATAGGCAAAACAATAACAATATCGGAAACAAATACAAATTCTATCGGAATAGTCAATATATATATATATATATATATAGTTGTAGTTACGGTTAGTATACAAATTAGTTCGTGACAAAATTTGACATACACTTTATCTATTTTTGAAGCTCTTGTCAACTAGGCAAAACCGGATCAACATCGAAAGTCTATATCATATAGTTCGACTGATAAAACTGGTCGAAGCGTCAGATTTAATATCCAAAAGTTGTCTGCTTTTAAAGTTAGCTCGACCAAAGCAAAGTTTCAAATAATATTGAAAGTCTCAACAAAATGCATATAAAAGCCTTTGACCTTTGACCCTCAAGGCGCTCTTGGGCAAACATATGCATGAATATTGATTGAAACTTACCTTATAGACCTGGCCGTAGGTGCCATTGCCAACGACCTCGATGAGCTCAAAGATGCCAGCCGGATCCTGGAAAAGACAAAAGGGCGTTGTCAGAAATTGGTTTTAATTTTTGTTTTTTTTTTTTTCGTTAGAAACGAGAGAAAAACTCTGAAAATGTCAAAGAACGAAATGCAATAAAACGCACCGCAACAACAATTAAAACAATAACGAAAGGGGAAACGCCCAAAAAGCGAAATCCTTAGACAGATGCAAAAGGCAAAGCCTAAAAACAAACAAACAAATCGGGCAAATGAAACAAAACAAAACAAAAAAAAAAGGCGGCCAGCCAAGCGTTGAGATGAGCTAAGAACAGGGCGTGGCTGCGACGGCACTGCGAGACACTCCACAAACAACAACAACAACAGCAACAAAGGCGAGTTTTTATTTTGGCTTTGTTTTTGTTTGTTTGTGTAAACAAATTATTAAGGCATAATAATACAAATAAGGAATGCGGCGCAGCGTTAAAAATAAAGCGGCATTTAATACAAATACAGAAACCCTTGCCTCTGCTACCCCCCTCCGCTCCCCTCTCCCACACACACACACTACGCCCCTGTGCATGCCCATGTCAAGCCATACAACAACAAATCGCATGCGAGTTCATTGACACGCAACTCACGAGCCAGGCACGAGACGTCGCCAGAGTCGAGACGAGCGTGTCACGACCTGAGCAGAAGGAGTACAGAAAAAGGGGGGGCGTGCCCTGGCGGCCCCCTGAGGGCCTAGTGACAGCTAAGGTAAACGCCAATTAAAATAACAACAAGAACAACAGCAATAACAACAATTTCAACAGGTAACAGACTTCTTCTTGTTTCCTCTCTCTTTTTCTTTTTTTTTTTGTCAGTGCTCTAAATTTAGTTTATGGCAGGTCGAAAGAGGGGGTCAAGGGGCGAATCGAGAAGACATGCAAGTTTAGCATATTTGTATCCGAGTTAAGTTTCGTGAATAAATCCATTAACTCGGAATAGGGGGAAAGGAAAAAAGCTAGCATAACATTTGCAACAAATATACGTTTTGATATTTCACTTATTTTCCACTAGTCAAAGTGAATATTGCGTCAAATGCAGATAAGTTGTGTGAATACATTGCTTAGCAGTTATTAGCTTGAGGAAAAATAGCAAATATTTAATGCTACATTTATATTTATATAGTATTTAGATTTTTCACTCATTTTCCGACAGTCGAAGTGAATTTCGTGTGCTCTAGGTGGATTTCATATTCATTTTCCACTAGCATTTTTATGGCTAGAGCACGCGTTGTTTTGACCCAGTGTAACGGAATGCGCTCACCCCAGCGACTCTCTTTACAAGCATTTCACAAATTAACATCACCCCGCCCCCCCCCCCCCCTGCCCCCACCCTTCTGGCACAAAAGCTAAGCTGAGCTGCACTTTGGCCTAACGGTAGCGGCAACAACTTGCAGGCGACTTCTGATATGCAGGAATAGTAAAAGGCAAAAGACAAAGCGTCAGTCGAAGTCAAAATAAAAAGTAAAAAGCCTAAAGAGAAAGAGCGACAGAGAGAGAAGGAGAGAGGGAGAGAAGGAACTATGGCAATGCCTTAAGTAGATTTATGGCTGCCTTCAAATGAGCAAACGTCAACAGCGCCCGAAAGCTATCATTGTTCTTATTCCTGCTCTGCGCGCTCGCTTCTTCCTCTTCTTCTTCGTCATGTTGTTGGTTTTTTTTTTTTTGGTGTTGCTGCAAAGTGTGTCAAACAAGAGACGAGCGGGCGGGCGGTCGGTCGGGCGGTCGGCAATTACTGCTATTTATGGCTGATTACTTCACGTTGTAAAATCAATTAAAAATGCACGAAAAACTGAGCCAAGTGTTGCGCCCTCGCCCTCCTTCCTCTACCCCACCTCTTCGTTCGCAAACAGCATCATGACTCATTAGCGTTGACATGCTAAGGCAAAACACAAACGAAATGCAGCGCGGGTGGGGTGAAACTTGGAGTGTTGAATTTTGTGGCGTAGCTTTAGTGCATAGTTCTGGCAACAGAGCGCGCTGCAGTTACAGTTATCAGTTGCGGCTGCCTGCTGTCCATTTCTCTCTCTCTCTGTCTCTCTCTACTCTCCCACTCGAGTGCGATCTCTGCTGCGCTCTCACTATTCTATTCTATACTCTAGCAGCGGCTGGGCATTTGATTTTTGTTGCAGTTGCGAGCTTTGTGAAAGATAAACTTTTTTTTTTATTCACCGAACTATGTTGAAAAACCTATTCACCTCGCAAGCAATATATCAAATATCTACCATAGACACAGTTATCTGTGAGAACTAACCGCAAGGGTATTCAATCTTCGACATTCCATAGATAAACTGTTCTTTCTCGTTTGGCTTTGTAGTCGTTCGTTGTATTTGTTAAAAAACGGGCACGAGTGCAACTAAAACTGAAACTAAAACTAAACAACTTGCTGGCGACTTGTCTAAAACTCGCCGAGGCTGTTGCTGGGCAGGCAAAACTGGATTTCTTTTTGGCCGTATACGCGAGGCTTGGCCCAGTTAGCAATGATATGATACACAGACGTGTGTGTGTGTGTGTGTGTGTGCGACCAGGAGACTCGCCAACAGGACTGGCTGCATATTGAACGCCCATGTTAAAAAAAAAAATAAATAAAAGCAGCTATTTGCATATGCATGAGATAAGGGGCAGAGGGGGGGCAAGGCAGCTGTAGAAGATAAACTACATATGTAAATGGGCATGCATGTGAACGTGTGATTGTAAGTGTGTGTGTGTGGGCTGTGACCAATTCGATTTGGAATGCAAAACATATTAGCAAGAGCTTGCAGCTAAAAATGTGTCTAAGAGCAGCGCGAATTCAGCTGACGGAAAAGCAAGAAAAAAACCAGTTAGCATTAATAGACAGGAGTTGATTGTAGACCCAACTTTAAGCACTGTTAAAGCACTGTGTGGTCGCCGGTTCAACTCCAGTAGGTATTTCCAGATCGAACACAGTTAAGATAGAAGAGACAACATCTGCCTAAGATATCTCGCATCTTGCAATATGTAAAAGATTTTATTTAAATATGCCTATCATTTGTTTTTTCTTCTTCTTTTTCTTCTTCTCTCTACAGTTCACATTTGCCAAACTTTGAACTTTGTTTAGTATTTGCATAACAATATTTATTTATAAAAAATAATGCAGACATATGCACGCACATTTCTAACTATGCACACATGTGCGCCGAAATATTTAGTAATACCATTTTCGCCCAGTGTATTTACCCAGCCGATGTTGATTTAACCCACAAACGGACCAAACCCAAACATGTGTGATTTCTTGTTGCTTTACAAGAGCTGCAACAACAACAACAGCAACAACAACAACAACAATCAAAAGCAACTGCACAAATTGCAGCACTCCAAAAACAACACACACACACACGCACACACACACACGCCAAATGTGGGCGAACACGTTTTTATCGCACAAAGCCAAATGCAATAAACGTTGATTAAAATAAATACACAAGCAAACACTCACACACACACGCACAAAAGAAAAACAAAGCAAAGACAAAGACAGTGCGTGTGTGTGTGCGTGTGTGTGTGTGCGTGCAAGAAGCGCCGACACATGGCCATGCACAAACGAAGGCAATCAGCGAAAGAGCGTGACGTCAGCAGCGGCAGCGGCAGCGACTGCAGCGCTTATCAAACTGCACAACAACAACAACAACAGCAAGCAAAGCGAGAGAGAGAGAGATAGAAAGGGAAAGAACACACATGCATACATGCATGCATATGCACTAATATGCATGTGTGAGTATATGTATGAGTATATGTACAGTGGTCGCTCGCAAATTTAAAACTGTTCTCTCCAAAAACCAATAAATACAGTGAGAATAACATGAGAACATAATATTTTGTACTTCCCATGCTCAGTTCTCATTATCGAGTGACCACTGTGCATGTATACAATCTTATATCCACAGCTGGGAATCATAAAATAATTAATGAAACGACGCTGATGAATGCATTTTGTGTGCTCCAAATTGTTGTTGTTAAATGTATCTTCTTATCAGTTTTACAGTTGCACAGGGAATGAGGGCATTAGAAGAAGAAGAAGAAGCACGAGCAGCAGCAGCCAAATGCCAATCGCCTCGCTGCTGCTTTAAGGACTGTGACCTTTTGTCAAGGAGCGCATCGGGCTGCTGCTGCGAAAACAGCAACAGCAACAACAACAACAACGACAATAGAGACAACGAGCTGTATACTATTTCGGGGCACGTATTTCATTGTTTAATGACCTTTAAAAAGCCAACGCAGACGCGGCGCCCACGCGCCTGCTGCGAGAAGGCCAACAGCAACAACAACAACTCATGGGGCCATCACACGCCTGCCATTTTTTCTTTTCAGTGCTTCATCATCAACTTGATGTCGTCTGCACACACACATACACACACGAACACACGCATAAGCATGCTGCTGCTGCTGCTGCTTCTTTTAATAAAGTAAACTAAACAATTTTCATTCTTGTCTCGTTTTTGTCTCGTCTTCTTCGACTATGAAGAGCACATGCACACATGCACGCATACCAATACATATGCAGGCAAGAGAGACAGCCGCCGTCTCAATCCACCTTACACCACATGCAACCCCACCGCACCGCCCACCCAGCAACTGCAAGTCAGAGTCAACAAACGGACACTCACAGACACAATCACACACACACACACACACAAGCACACTCATACAGACACAAAGAGACAGGCGGCGCTGCTCCTCAACACTGGCAAAACTTTACTTTCTGTGGGTGCTTGCTTGCAGCATTGCCTGCTGCGACGTCGCCGTCGCCGTCGCTGTCGACGTCGACGCACTGTGTGCCGCCCAACGTGGGGCGGCAGTGGTGGTGAGTTTAAAAGCTGTGGTGAATGTTTGCTGAAAGAGAAAGGCAAAGGCAAAGGCAAATGGCATAAGCAACGCGTGCGGTTTGTGCGTGTGGGGGCATCATTTTCATTGAGAAATGAAAAATATAAAAGACAAGCAGCAACAGCAGCGATAAAGACAAGACTTGGCAAAGCCGCTGACACCGGCCGGTCACTGCTGCCGGTGGTGAGTTGAGGCCATGCTGAGGTGGGCTGGGGTGGTTGGCAAACACAAAGAGAGCGCACACCAAATACCCCACACAATTGGCCACAGCAAATACAACAAATGACAATGTGCCGTTATTATGATATGCATTATGCAGCTTGGAGTGGGCGTTGCCATAGCCAACAATATTGCAACAACAAGCTGTGCATTGTTTTTTGCAATATTAGGTTTGCCATTTCGATTGTATCAATTAACAAACATGTGCAGCTATTGTGAACAAGCATGAAATTCTTATTGGATTACACAATCAATAAATGGTCAACTCCAGTTAGCAGCAGCGACAGCGACGTCTGCTGCATAATTTGACTGGCTGCGCTTGATTGAAAGTGAATTTGAAGCGAGTGTGGGAGAGAGAGAGAGAGAGAGACAGGGGAGCGGGAGTTGATAGAGTCACAATGCGGAAATTGCTTTAAAACAAAAAAAAGAAAAGAAAAACAACAAAAGTTATGCACACATGGCCACACCTTGCAGCAAATGCGAGACTCCGAAATGTTGTGCATGGAGCTCTGCTGCGGCGGCTGATGCTGCTGCTGCTGCTGCTGCTGTGGCTAACAACTTACCTTTAGTGCCGTCAAATCGATATCATCCAATGAACAATTCACCGATTGTGCCAGTTGTTGTTGCTGTTGCTGCTGGTGCGCCATTTTGATTTGCTATTTTTTGTTATTCTGCCCGCTGCGACGACGGCGGCGGCGGCGACTGCTGATGCTACTTGACACAAACACACACACACACTGCTATGCAGGCTATGCACACCAACACACGCACGCACACATATACGCACACTGAGCCGACACTTTTCTGTTGTTTTTCTTTTTTTATTTTTATTTCAATAATTTGTATGCTGCTTTTTTATTGTTGTTTTTTTGTATTATTACGTTGACTAAGCATAGAATTTAAATTATTTGCGCGTTGCTCTAAAATGAATGGACAAAACGAAGCAGAGTTTAAGTTCTACAATTACCAAAAAAAAAAAAAAGCTATGTGGCTAACAAATCGTATTTGTTGCTGGCCACACAACTTTTCTCTTTTGTGAGTGAGCGCGTATGTGTATGTGTGTGAGCGGTTGGCGTATGTGTGTAACGTTTGGTAAACGGGCGCGGCACGCACTTGCACTGATTTTTTTTATTTATTTCATTTATTATATTGAATGCAAACACTAGTGAAATTAATATTTGGACGGAGCGAGAAATTTAATATTCTTATTCTTCAGCGATTATTCACACGGAGCACACACACACACACACACACAGCCACACAAACAGGCACTGCGCTCTGCGATATACACATACACGCATTCATATACTGAAGTATATGTATACGTATGTTTGTGTAGGTAGACAGGAAAAAAATCTGCCACTCGCTTTTTCTCTTTGCTTTTCGGTGGGCTAAGCTGGACATAAAACTGCGATATTTTTACATACTTTACGCGCACAGCAGTTAATGCTTATTGTTTTTGCATAACGAGCACAATTAACAACTGACTTGCCTAATTTTCAGCAAGTTCCGGTTTGTGCAAGTTGATGGAAAGTATTAAATAAATCTTTTCGCGAGCGACACGGACAGGCACGTCCGAACTCCGACGCAACAACAACAGAAATGTTAAGATCCCAGCTGTTATGGGTCTGTTATGCTCGATATCACGATGTGCGTTTATATCGATATGCGAATGTTACCGATACTGTTAACTTGCTAGACGATTGTATTAACCATTATCATAGTTGACACTATCGATGTTAGTAGCGTTAAATAGTGCTAACAGTGCTTATTAATATTTTTATATTTAAATAAATATACTGATAGCAGAAATGTTAATGAAATATCTCTGTTAAACTCAAAATGGATATTTTAAACGGCTGTTATACTCAAATGCGACTGTTGGTCTTAAAAGTGTGAAAGTGTAAGATATCTGCGAAATTACCATAATGTTAACACACTGTAGCAGAAAAATACTGAATAGTACAATAGAATACCAGTAAGCTGCTACAGCCAACCTTATGTGTCTCAGCTTGCGTTGCGTGAAGTTGGCTGCAAGCAATCCCGTGCTAGTTCGTTACGTTACAAAATGTAACTAATTTATAGCCCGCATTATATATTTTTAATTTAACATATAAAGCAGACACAAGAGATTTACATGTTTCGCAGATTGTTTAGTATTCTATTACTTTCATTGAATTGAAGAAACCGTTTAGTATTCATTTTCCCATTACTTAAATTTCGTTTTCGGAAATATTTACTTTTGTCAATAACTTGCTGCGTAATAACAATTTGAGTAGTTCTTAAATTGCCCGCCAGTGGCGATCGATTAGGAGAACACAAATTAGTCGAGTAGAGATAGACAAGAATCGATACAACGAAAAACAAATCGATACCTCGATGCTTCGATGCCTTGTTTGAACATCGAGCACAACATTGTAATGCGAGATCGAGAGTTGACAAGACGTGCGTGAAACGAGCGCGGAACGCAAAACGAAAATTTAACCGTAAAAGCAACGTACCAAAAGTGCCAACAACAAGAATGTACATAAAATAATAACAAATAAAACGTAAAAAGCCTGTGCAAAATGCCATTGAAAATACCAAAAGCAATTGTTAAAGCCGTCTAACTGTTAAGACCGCTGTCCCCGTTGTTCTTGTTGCTGTTGTTTTGTGCTAATTAGAAAGAGCTGCGGCGTCGACTGCTGCGCCGGCGTTTCAGAACGCGGCAATCTAATTGTTGGCCCAAAAACAAAAAAAAAAAAAAAACCGAAAAAAAAGCGGCAAAGCTGGTTTTTTTGCGCATCGTTGTATGTGTGAGTGTGTTGTGTGATCAGTGTAAGTGTGCGTGTGTGTGTGTGTGTGTGTGTGTGTGCATTGGAATTTGTTAAAACACGAGCGCATTAAGGTCAAAAGCAACAAGTGACAAGCCACAGAAATTCTAAGCATAAATTAACGCCAAAAGAAAAACCACAACACAAATAAATAGAAAAAGTTGTTGAAGAAAAAAAAAATTGCTTACACGTAAATAAATCTCTTCAATCTGAGATTCTTTTTTTTTTTTTGGGCTTACAACAAAAACGAAAAAAAAAAAACGCAGCAGCCAAAGAACGCCGCGCAAAGCAAAGCAACAACAACAACGACAACAACAACTTTCCGGTTTTCTCAGCTTCAACTCGCAGCGTCTCGTTCTGCTTCTTATTTTGTTACGTGTGTTTATCGATCTTCGTGGCTTACGCGAGCGGAAAAAGGCGAGAGAGCGAGCGAGAGAGAGTTGGGAGTGAAAACTAAAATAGAAATAAATCAAATTTTAATTCAAAACGCAGCGCCACACAAAAAAGCAACAACAACAACAAGAAGAAGAAGTCAACAACAAGCTGCGACGCTGCAGGACGCGAAAGAAAGGAAGCAGCGCAAAGAGAGAGAGAGAGAGAGAAAGATCACGCCGTCTTTTGTGTGTGCGAGAGCAAAAGAGAGAGTGGGCGCTAAAGAGAGAGAGAGAGCGGAAGCCGTAAACAAAACAAAAAGCAAAGTAACATATTTTGTATACAGGATATTAACATAAATCATTCACGCTGGATTTAGGATACTACGAGGCTGTTAAAGGTAAATGATAAACATTAACATCGATTTTATGTAACTGTTAAGGCAGCACAAAAGCCGCGCTCAAATAAACAACAATAATAGCGCCAATAACATTTTTATGCAGTCAACGCACCTGAGCGCCGCACTTTATGGCCACAAATAAAAAAAAAAAAAAGAGCAAAAAAAAAACTACAACAAACCATTGAAAACTTGTTGCATAACCGCACGCCAATTCGAATCCAGTTGGGCCTGTCAAACTGTACAGTTTTGATTGGAAGGGCGCACATTGCGTGCGACGCAGTCATAAAATTGCGAACGGCTGTCACACTTTTCTTATTAGCATAAGTAGATGGAGCGAGGGAGCGAGCGAGCGATCGATCGAGAGAGAGAGAGAGAGAGGGAGAGCCCGTTTACAGGTGCGCAGCAGCAGCAGCTAGCGAGCTGGTGATTTAGCCTGGGCTCGACGTCGACGTCAGACAACGGCGAGCTGTAAACTGTAAACTAGGCTAAATAGGGTCTCTGGCCAAAGCACGTTTTGGTCTATGGCTGGCTGGCTGCCTGGCTGGTTGGCTTTGGGGCTTGGTTTATTTTTAAACCGCATTCCGCGTGCCATTTGGCCATTTGCAAGCCAGTGCTGCCAGTTGCGCTGGTCTGGCACACAAAACTAGCTCTTTTTGGCTTTGAAAAATAGCCAATAGCAGCTAAAACTCTGGCTTTAACAATAACAATAAGCTGTCACTCTTACATACATGCATATATGTTAGCATATCTGTACATGTGCATGTGCACACATGTTAATACAGCACCGTTAACATTAACAGCACTGCGGTGCCGCTAGCTGCGATTACATAGACAATTGCAGTGCTAGACAATTGCGCTAAATTAAATTACGCTTAACAGGGGCAGCTAAAGGCCAGACACACACACACACACACGCACACAGCCAATCAAAAGAAGTGAGAGCGAGAGCGAGAGCGGGCGTGCGGACGCGTTGAAGTTTGCAGTTGCACTCATTCAGTGCCTGTCAAACTGCATATGAAATGCATTAAAATTCCAATTGGCAAAGCCAAGTTGGTCCATTTGATGCTTTTGCTGCGCTTTTGTTTTCATTCTTTTTACTGCTGCAGCTGGCCGCGTGCTGTCTTTGTTCTTGCCGCACTCCTTGCACTTGCTGCAGTTGCTGTTGTTGCTCTTGTTGCTGTTGTTGCCCTTGTTGTTGCTGTTGTTGTTGGCGTGGCATTCTTTAGCGTTTTGCGCAATTTGTGCGCTGTACTTTGTTTTGTTTTGTTTTTTGCTCTTCATTTGCCATACACAAGTTTTACATTCACAATTGAAAGTTGGCCACACGTAATCCCGCACAGAATTTCAATTCCAATTCAACATCCAATTGGATTTCCAGTTCCACTCAATCAATCACAACCTCATTTATTTAGCCTTTCCAATCAATCAAACTACAAATTCGCTTGTGTTGAATAAATTTCAGTTGCACTCTAAAGCGGCTGCTTTTGTAAAAACAAAACGAAAGAGTGATAACAATTTTAAATTGATAATTGCTCAAGTGGAGTACAGTTCCAATTGGATACACCTAATTAATTGAAAGATTGACTGCAAGGGCGCAAGACCCTTGCAACTAGACCAATTGACTGCTGAACTGGACTGGAAAATGGGCTGAAAATCTTTAGCAAACGAATATTGTGCACAGCTAATTAGAAAAGTGATTCACTTGATTCAATATTCCAGTGAAACAATACAGTGAACGCTCGCAAAGGGCAACATTCTTTCGAATTTAGCGAAATTACATTTTAATAAAATATTTAAGAAAAAATGTTATTAACATGAAAAAAGTTAGATTTATGTTATGTTTCAAATGTTAAGCCATACAGTGGACACTCGCAAAAGCGAACTCTATAGTTACAGAACACATTTTTTTTAACTGAAAATATGAAAATAATGGAGAAAAAAAACTTGCTAAAGAATCACTCAAAATTCCCTGGAAGATAGCTCTAAAATATGTTACTGTAAATTCTAACTAGCGAGCTTTCACTGTACTTGGTCAACTGCAAAGCTGTTGACAAGCTGCTTTTGTAAAGATTTTCATGCGATCAGCTCATCTTACACGTCAATTACGTTATCTGGCATTGAGAATATATATATATATATATATTGGTTTTTTTATTCCATAAGTAAATTAATGGGTCACTATGACAAATTCCGTTGAATGATTGAACAACTTAATAAAAGTCGATTATCGATGCTCAAGTGCCCAAGTTTCGGTTATCAGCTGCGTTTCATATAAAACGAAGTCCAAAAAATTCGCAAATGAATATCAATACAGCGAATATATACTACACATACATATAGACATATATATATATATATATATATATATATGTGTTTATATATAGATTTTGATTTAATATGGCGACATTGAAAGGCTAAACAATTTGTTTGGCAAATTGATAACGTTTCACATTTGCGATTGCTTTCTGACATTTTCAAGTTTTTGTTTTTTTTTTTTGATTGATATTCAAAAGTAAAATCGACTTTTTGTCGCAGTGTAAAAGCTAGTTGGTAGAGCGAAAAGGGGGGGTGGAGTTGTTCTCTCTTCTAAACCAACAAGAATTGTAATTAACTGTTTTGCAATTGTTGCGCTTGATACAAGTCAATTTTGCATTTACATTCTCGAGTTCCACTAACATACATACACACACACACACACACACACACACACACACAGACATTTACATATGCATTTGTGTGTCTAGGTGTATGCACAGATAGTTCCAATTGGCTGAAGCTGGTTGCCAAGTGTGTCAGGCAATTAGAAACAACCGTAAGTTAAAGTGCAAAACGGCAACAGTGTGTGACAGAGAGCGTCAACGAGAGAGAGAGAGACAGAGAGAGAGAGAGAGAGAGAACGAGTGTGTGTAATTTCACTTGTCTGCGAGGCAAAAAGACGGCCAAGCGGTTTTTTGGAACGCCCAAAGTTCATTTTCTAAAACTCTCCTTGAAAAGAAAGTACTTCTACCAAAAATTAAACAA